GAGAGATGACAATGGACAAAACATTCTCTTTGGAAAAGTAGAGGACCAAGGTAATGAAGGACATAAAGACCCAATACAAAAACACAACCATCAGAACATAACCAAAGACACAGACACTTTTATTACATGTGTGGATTAGAGAGTCATACACATGCTGGATATAATAATGAAGACAATCAATGAAGCCTTGGTCATCTAAATACTCAAGCCTTCTGCTCCAGCATCAGGAAACTGAAGTGAATGCAGGAAAGCAGATTACCCTGTATCTTGGGGACAGTTCTGCTACACTCTTTATTGATTTTTTATGGGTTTATTCAATCCAGAAATGGTGATAAATATTGAGAATGTGGTCTACGGTGCTATCCTGGACAGTAGAACTCAAGTGGCCATTATCTACTGGTGATTCCATGGGAAACATTTGGAGAAAAGTACCTGTAAACCTTTGAACTTGGTGGACTCAGTGATAAAGACTACTGAGATACACCAAGGTGGGCTTGAAATTCCCCAAGAAAAGTATTGTTATCAGTAGGAAGGTGGACTCTATGATTATGGTAGGTCTTGACCTTTCAACACTTGTTGCAATTTCATAACTGATTAGAACCAATTCCAACCTATTCAAAATACTAGCAGAATGTTTCAAGCCACAAACTTGAACTCAATATCTGTACATTATGACCATCCATCCAGAGATGCCTATAAGAAATAGAGACAAAAGGCAACATCGACCATGACATGTCCACTGACTGACTCAAGCTTGGATCCTGAGGTATTTGAGTTTGATGACTCTACTGTTCCAGAATAACGGCAGGATTGGTTGATAAAGCTCAGCAAGAGGACAGGCATGATCTGCCAACGTGGATAAGATGTAGAATGTTCTGGAGGAGCAAATCACAGAATCTAAATCACCAATTCATGGCCATTCTAAGAAAGATCTTAGAAGGTTCCCTTATCTATAAAGGAAGAAGACCTTAGAAATAATCTTCAAGAAATGCTTATCAATGGCATCATCAGAATATAGTAGCTCCTATGTCATATACGAATGTGTGCAGACTACCGGACTTAGATCAAAAGAACTCTATGGGGGCAGCTAGGGGGCACAATGGATAGAGCACCAGCCCTGAAGTCAGGAGGACCTGAGTTCAAATCCGGCCTCAGACCAAATACTTGACACTTACTAGCTGTGTGACCCTGGGCAAGTCACTTAACCCCAATTGCCTATAAAAAAAAAAAAAAGGACTATATGCTACAGATTTAAGATGCCCTGGACTGTCTTCTGGCTCAGTCTTGGATTTCTGTAGTGGATACTATCAGATTCCTATGGCTAAAGTAGACAAGGAGAAGATTGCTTTCATTTGTCCATCTGGGTTTTACCAGTTTGAGTGCACGCCCCAAGGCTTCTGGGAAGTGATTTCCATTTCTCACTGACTGAAGGATAAAGTCCCCGAAGACATGAACTACTCGAAAGTGTTGCTGTAAACTGATGACAACTGACTTTAGAAAAGCAGTGGAAGAACAAAAGGAGAAGCTTGTGAAAGTGCTGGATGGGCTAGAAGAACCTAGAATGAAGCTGTCAATAAACAAGTCGCAGCGTCTCAGAACTCTGGTTCAGTTTGTAAATCACGTAGCATCCTGGCAAAATGTGAGTATGGATGCAGGGAAGGGAGAAAGTTCTTCTAACATGGCCATACTCATAGAATCCTTGAGATTTAAGGACTCTGTAAAGATTTAGTGGTTATTATTATAAATTTGTTGAGAACTATGTTCCTATTGATCAACCAGTGAATGACTTCACTTGTGCATATAGTTAAAGAAACTAAGAAACAGCAAGGCAATAAATGCAAAGCTGTCTTAAAGCCAACACCCAGGAGAAGAAGAGACAGGGACCCAGGAAGGGTCACTGGGCAGTCTGATGCTTCCCCTGTCCTAATTGACACTGGGGCCAAAACGGACACCGGCAAAATAGAGCAGTCCACTGACCTCCTCATACTGGGGTTAGGGCTAGCATCTCCAAATTGTCCTTGAGGCAGAGACTAACATTCCCACGGCAGTATTGGGAAAGGCCAGAAAAGGAATACGATCAGAGATATTGCCAGGAAGCCTCAGTCATAATATGCCTTGTGGTCCCTCTGTACCCTGCCTTGGTCAAAAAACATGTGGAATAAGTTCAATTCTGGGCACTACATTTTAGGAAAGACATTGACAAGCTACAGCATCCAGAGGAGGCTGACCAAGATAGTGAAAGACCCTTAGATCATGTATCATGTTCCACTTAAATTTCTATTAATGAAGGGAAATCGTATTATATGAGACCCTATTTGACCTCTCTCCTGCCTCTCTCCCAAGCATCTGCCCCAGCCCAGCGTTGGCTCAGAGGTCACTCAGTCAATCATGAGTCATGACTTCTTAGCATAAGAAATAGACAGGTTGCAGGGCTATTCTTCAGGGAGCTATGCCTACCTTGGTTGGAAATATAGTTATATAAGTATCTCAATTTAATTATATTAGCTGAATCTGATATACAGGGCGAGAAGATTAAGATTGATCCTGTATCATTTTCTTATTGATCCTATTTACAAGTAATTGATTTTGTTTTGTAACTGCTTTTGTCTTGTGCTTAAGTCATGGTTCTTTGCTTCTGAATTTAGTTCAGAGTTCAGCTGGCCTGTAAGTTAAATTTAAAAAAAAAACCATTTCTTCTTGCCCCCAGGAATTTTAGTAGACTTGTGAAATGGGGCCTGATATCTTTATGCCGCCAAGCTGTCCCTCAAAGATGTCTGGTTTGCGGTCCAATAGTCTAGGCCACTATCTCTCACCTGCACTCAGACAATAAGCACTTTTTAGTCTGATAAGAGAAGAAGGGGGTGTCATTGCTAGCCCCCATTATCAAACTTCCAACCATCATGTTGTTTTCTGTACCTCAGCTATGAAGCCAATTATGCTGCCCTTAATCCCACGATCTCATCTACTCTGTTCTGTTCTTTGTTATGTACTCCCCAACATCTATAAAAGGTTCTTGCTCAGGGTCTTTGGCATTGATGGAGGCAAGCCAATCATCCATTTGTTGACAAGTACTATGCCCTTGCTAATAAATATTATCTTACACAGAGATCTGCCTCAGTTTACACTTTTGTTAATATATCAATTGTGACAAGGGTGTCTTAAAAGTCTTAGTGCAGTTGTAGGCTATTAATTCGCTGCACTGTGAACAGATGGACAAATCAAAATTTAATAGCTTACAACTGCATTAAGACTTTTGGGATACCCTGCATATGACGTGTAATTGTCAAATACATTTGCAGAAATTAAAAATCAAATACTAGTAACTATTATAATGATTCAAACAAACATAAAAGGTAAGACTTGACAGAATTGATCTTAATTATGAATTTTAATAAATTCTCTATTATATGTTATATATTATATACATATGTATATATATCCCTATAATAATTATTCTCTAACGCTGCAGGTCATTAACCTAATTTGGTCTTCAGCCATGTCTTCATGAAGAAATGCCTTCAGACATTTGACAGAATAAGCGCTCACAATCCTATATAAAGGGAAGCAACAGTACAAATTGTTTGTCCTAGTCCTATAGCTACTGTTTCTCTAAGAACCACTTTACACATTCCTTTGAGCTTTAAAGAGATACGGCCACCAAGCTGCACCAACCTGCTCAAAGGCTCCTTCTCCCCAAGAGACTCAGCATTGTGCAGTTCACCACCATCTTTCTTCCTGGTTGCTCTTTTGCATTTGCTGGCTCAGTCCTCTGTTTGTTCTTGGGGTTTATAATACAGTTTACTTCCTTTCAGTCAACTTTTGCGACTCTGCATTCATCCTATCTCCTGTTTGCTAGGTTCTTATCTTGTGTCCTGGCTCTGCTTCTCACCTCTACTGATGACTCTGTTCTTTTTTACTCCTCTTTAAGTAAGGGGCTTATATTTCAGGATCGGGAATTCTCCTACTCTGATTTTTGTCTTGTTAGGTGGAAGCAGTGGGCATGTTATCAACTCAGAAGCAGAGACTGCTGCTGCCCTCTGCTGGCCCCAGTGAAACCTGCAGACTCCCAGCTACTTAGCAGTGTCCTAATTAACCCTGTCTGCCTTGGCGCATAAACTTAGATCATTATATCATTGTGCTACCTATTCACCCTACTACTTTATTAATGACAACATCTACTCACATTATCAGCTATCAGATAAAGGACTTTTAAAAAAAATGTTCTAAAAAGCAAAAATTGTACATGAAATCAATATTGAGTACAAAAGATCCATAAATCAATTGAGTATAATGGTAGAGGACACAGGCCTATTCTAGTTTCAAACTTAGAAATCTCAAATCTAGAATACAGTGTCTTCCTAACATTGATAAACTCAGCTCTTCTCAGCAATGCAAAGGTCTAAGACATCTCCAAAAGTCTCATGATGGAAAATGCTATCCACATCCAGAGAAAGTACTATGGAGTCTGAATGCAGATTGAAGCATACTATTTGCTCTTTTTTTTTCTTGTTTTGTTCTATTTCTTATTTTTTGTGGCTCCTACAATTGGTTATAATTCTTCTTTGCAATATGACTAATGTGAAAACATGTTTAGTAGGCATGTATGTGTACAGCCTATATCAGATTGCATGCTGTCTTGGGGAAGGAGGTGGGAAGGGAGCAGGAGAAAATTTAAAACTCAAAAGCATGTGGAAATGATTGTTCAAAACTAAAAATAAATAAATTAATTAAAAAAAATAAAATACAGTGTCTTCATTTACCAAATAACATACTATTTAAAAATTAATTTATTTTTTAACTAACATTTGTCATTGTGGAAAGAGGAATAAAAGCCCATCTCAAATATGCCAGGGTCCTAGTAAATGGGAAGTAAATAATTAAGTACCAAAAATTTTGAAGAATGTAATTTCCTAAAGTAAATTTGATTATAACAGTGGAATTTACAATTTAAAAACTGAACTGTGCTTAATGAAAAGATGGACCCTAAATGTGCAACTCACCCGTTCATGACACTTTTGATTCTTATCCCTAAGTTTCCTTACTTGAACCATGAGCCTCTCTATTGCATCTTCCTTTACTTGACAGCTAGGTATAAACAAAGATGAAATAATGTTACAAATACATTTCCTTAAATCAAAATTAGCAAAGACACAAAGAAATTATTTTAAAACTAAATGAACAATATTCAGTAGTCATAAGAACCATGGAATCTATTAGTAGGAAGAGTTGGGGGAAAAAGAGAAAAGGACCAAACATTTACTGAATACCTACTATTTGCCAAAACTGTGAGAAGAGTTTTAAAAAATATTATCTGCAAAGATAATAGAAATAATGGAAAATAGGTTCTGTGAAAAATATCTGTGGCCTGAAAATGAGCCAACAGTGGAATATGGGAGCCAAAAGAGTTATAGTGATTCTGGGCTTTAGAAAGACTCAGGTTGTTGGGAGATGGAAATGAGTTAATAGTAATGATAAAAGCTGGCATTTGTATAACACCTTAAAGTTTGCAAGGCTCTTGACAAATATTATCTCATTTCATCCTCAAAACAACCCTGGAAGGTGGGTGCTTTTATTATGCCTATTTTACAGCTAAGGAAACTGAGGCAAACAGAGGTTAAGTAATTTGCCCAGGCTCACACAGCTAGTAAGTGTCTGAGGCTAGTGCTGGGTTCAGGTCTTTGTGATTCCAGGTACAGCACTCTATTCACTGAACCAACTAGCTGCCCTAGATAACACATGTAAAGGATTTGTAGATCTTAAAGTGCTCTATACATGTGGGCTATTCCGTTAGTGCTATATGTACTCTGTCACAAGAAACTGGAGTCTTTTCTTTCCCTTGTTCTTGTGCTGCCCTCTACCGTCTCTATACTGAAAGGTCATGTTATCTAACATTCAGAGACCAGAGTATTCTCCATCTGGGCTGAAGTCTCTCCATTCCTCCAAGTGCCAGCTGCTTCATGAATCCTTCCCTTACCCTCCCAGGTCAATGAGATCTCTTCCCCCTTAGATTCCTCATAGTATTTTACCTGGAACTGTCCTTCAAACATATTTCACTCTCCCTTGTACCATAAGTATTTATATAAATCATTTTGACTCACTGGAATGTAAGCTTGGGAGCTGAAGTGAATGTTATCCAAGTGAGACAGGTTCATTAGGGGAGTTACTGATTAATTTAAGAAGATTCTCAATCAACGTGATTAGATTATAGGGCATAGGACTTTAGAGAAAATGACACTTGATTACCCATCAAAGTGGGAATGCTTACTGGTATCTTGTTATTAGGATACTGGAGATTCCATATGACTGACTTACAGAATAAGCTACTATTCCTTAATGTCTTTAAAGTGAATTGGTCATTTTCTTTCTCTGGCTTTGATTTCCTTTCCACTTTAAGAAGACAGGCCAGAGTATAACAAAGTATATGGACATGCATGCTGTGGAGCAGAAACCCTGTCCCCATACAATTTCTTCCCCTTAAGGAGTAGTCAATGGCAACTTAAGGTAAAGTGATATGATCAGTTTCCCATGCTTGCACAGGTACCATGATGGGAGAGGTCTTGAAAATGGACTTTTCCATCCGAACTTGTGGTAATCTAATAGTGGTGTGGTTCTATACTATGCTGGTTGAACAGGGTTGTTGTTTCTTCTTACTTGCCCCTGCCTTTCCTTCCCTGCTCCTGTGCTGGGCATGAATTTTCCAGAGGTAGCATAATGGATTGAGCACTGAACCTGGAGTCAGGAAGACCTGAATTTAAATCTAGCCACAGATTGTGTGTGTGTGTGATCCTGGCCAGGCAAGCCACTTAGCCTCTGTCTGCTTTAGTTTCCTCATCTGTAAAAAAAAAAAAAGTGGGGATAATAATAGAACCTACCTTCCAGAGTTGTTGTGAGGAAGATAGAGAACCAAGATGATGGAGTAAAGGCAGGAACTAGCCTGAGCTCTCCCCAAACCCCTCTAGAAACCTTTTAAAAATGACTCAAAATAAATTCTAGAGCAGCAGAACCTACAAAAAGATGGAGTGAAACAAATTTCCAGGCAAGACAACTTAGAAGGTCAATAGGAAAGGTCTGTTGCACAGGGTGAGAGAGGAGCACAGTCCAGCACAGACTTCCCCAGCACCAGCACAGGCTCAGCCCCAGCAAACCAGAAGCAGGCTTCCGGGAGAATGAATCAGTGGCAGCAGTAGGTGGTTTCTAGACCTCTCAGCCCACAGACATCAAAGACAAAAGGTGATAAAGTCCTGAACTAAGATGGAAGTTATTTGAATAGGAAGGAGATGGAACATGAAAGATGTTATGTTGGATGAAGGAGAATGAGGAGTTGAGAATAATACCAAGGTTATAAACCTGGGAGACTGGAAGAATGGTGATATTTTTGATGGAAATTGGGAAGTTTGTAAGATAGGTACAATTGGGGGAGGGGAGGGAATGAGTTTCAGACATATTGATTTTTTTTTGCCTTTTTGGTGAGGCAATCGGGGTTAAGTGACTTGCCCAGGGTCACAGAGCTAGTAAGTGTCATGTGTCTGAGGTCGAATTTGAACTCAGGTCCTCCTGACTGAAAGGTCAGAGCTCTATCCACCGTGCCACCTAGCTGCCCCAGACATATTGATTTTGAAATACCTCTGAGATGTCAAGTTTGAAATGTTCAAAAAGCAGTCGGTTTATGTAGGGCTGTAGCTAGGAGAGAAATGGACTGGATCTGACTTTTCATAAAGATGATAATTAAACCCACAGGAGCTGATGAGGTTGTTGAGAGAGAAAAATATAGAGAGAGAAGAAAAGAAGACCTAAGACTGAGCCTTAGGAATACTCATAGTTAAGGGGATTTACATGGATGACATGCCAGCAAAGGTGACTGAGGAGTGTTCAGAGAGACAGGAGAAAAACCAGGAAATTGCAGTGTCACAAAAAACCCAGAGAAGAGAGACTATCTTAGGACAAAAGGTTGTTCAGCAGTGTCAAATGCACCAGAGAGGTCAAGGAAGATTACAACTGAGGAAACACTAGCAGGTAGGTAAATTAATAGATTGTTAGTAACTTTGGAGAGATCAGAGAAAGATTTTTCTGGGCAATGGCTTGTGGGCAATTCCAAGTTCAAGAGTTTAGGATCAGACCTTCTATAAAGAGATTTATTGATATGGTGGCCTCTTGGAGAAAGAAGAGGATAAGCCATACGCAGCATCCTACTTGGAAAGCAAATTATGAGGACAGGGTCAGTCTGATTAGAAGTAGATTGCTTGTTCCATAGACCCCAAAATATGTTGCCTTCCTAAGGGAGTCTAAACCACAGGGTGGCACAATGGGTCTAGAAGGGACTATGTATGCCCCTTTGAGAAGAGAAATATTTCATAGGAATGTCAAGTTACTGGCCCAATTGCAACCTCAAATTCAGTTTCCTTTCCAGGGTGAGGGAGGTGATAAGACTACTATTTCTTTGAGTCTTCTGTGTCTTATGCATTTTCTATGAGATGAAATGAAGACTGTACCTGTTAAGCATTTGGTACTGTGGGTGCTTGTAAGGGAGCTGGGGAATCCTTTCACCCACATTTGGGAAACTCTGCATAGGAGCAATGTTCTGAGTAGCTAAGGAGATTTTCCTGGTGCTGGTCCAAGTGGACTTAATAAGCCAAAGAGAGAAAACAATTTTCTTGCTGTCAACACCCAGAATCAAACCAAATCAGTTAAATTCAGATTCTTGGAGATATTTGGGCCATCAGCTAATTATACCTGCCTTTTTATCTTCAGTGCCTATTACAGAGCCTTGCACAGAATAATTGCTTTGCAAATACTTTGTATTTAATTTTCTAGGTATATGCTGTCTCTATATGGACTATTTGTGCCTGGCTTGTGATAGAGCCTTCTGAGCTTGGATTGGTCTGACCAGCCACAGTCAGACATCCTGTACCTTGACCCCAACATAGTGGTGTCATTTTGGTCCTCTTCAAGAACAAAGGACAACCGTATGCTTTTTCTTCTCAAAACCCCAATAGAATACAAACTTTTTAAGGGAAGGAACTGTTTCATCTTTGTCTTTCTGTCCCCAGGGATTGGCACAGCACCCGGCACATAGTAGGGAAAACTTAACAAATTCTTGTAGAATGAATGAATATAAGGCATTTTATAAATGTGTTGAATTATATTTAATTCTGTTGGGAAAACTAGCAGTTTCTCTATATCTACTGAGAGATACATCCAGTTGTATAACATGTCTTCTTATTTATTATAATTTAATACTTTCATTGATGAGTGAAGAGTTTGTCTCTTTAGAGTTTGTGAAATAATACCTAAATATTCTATATCCTACTTTTCTAATGACACCTAGACTACTAATGAGAAGAACACCATCTAGTGGCAATTTCTCAAGATATCTGATCCCTAAAATGGTTCTGAGAGGGATTTACTATCCAGCTGAATCAAATGCTACACAGTGATGGCATAACAGTAATAACAGTTAACATTTATATAGGGCCTACAATGTGCCAGGCACTATCTAAGTGCTTTACAATTATTATTTCATTTCAGCTTCATAAGAACCCTGAGAGGTGGATGCTATTATCATCCCCATTTTACAGATGAGAAAACTGAAACAAACCAGGGTTAAGTGACTTGCCCAGGGTCACACAGCTAGTAAGTGTCTGAGGCTGAGCTTATGTGTTCCTGACTTTGCCCAGTACTCCATCTGCTGTGCCATCTAGCTGCCCCCTAACATAGCATATCTAACAGATGCTAATATTAAGCATATTTTATATTTAGTTACTATAGTAGTTATATGGAGATAATATTCACTCTCAAATGCCTATTACCATCCAAACTGTTGTATTTCATCTTACAAAGTACATAGATTCTCCCCAAAAGACTAAAAAATTCTCTTTCTCTCTCTCTCTTCTATTTCTTTCTCTCTCTCTCTCTCTGTCTCTCTCTCTCTTTCTCAGGAGTTAGAATCTGCTTTGGTGGAGGCAATAATCATGCCAGGAAAACCTAGGATTCTTGAAATACTGAAATAATAGTGCCATGTAATTTATTTTTAAAAATCCTCTCAATTTTATAAGAGTTTGTCTTGTACAAAGAGAACAGAATCAGGAAATCTGAGATGCCATTTGTCTTGTCCATGGCTCCTAAAATGATTGGTTAAAAAAATGGGGCAACTAAGTGATGCAGGATAGAGCACCAGCCCTGGAGTCAGGAGGACCTGAGTGCAAATCCAGCCTCAGACAATTAGTAGCTGTGTGACCCTGGACAAGTCACTTAACCCCAATTATCTCTGAAAAAAAGACAAAAACCCCCCCTAATTACAACAAGAAACAATTTCAAATCAAAATTCAAACTTACTAATATTCTAGCAGTGCTTCGCTGGCAGGAACCTTAGTTTCTGATGGTCCATCTTGGATCTCTCTTTTCTTCTTTTTCCCCATACTTCAAATTGTACTGATATTCCAACTACCAAGAGATACAGCTAATAGGGAAAAAAGAACAGGAAAAATTAATAACAATCATCACACATAATTGGCTATATTCTTCATTCTTGTAAACCAGTGGTTCTCAAAATGTGACCTACAGACCCTTAGGGGTTCCTGAGTCCTTTTCAGGGAGTCTGTTAGGTCAAAACTAGGTTCATAATTATACTAAAGCATTATTTGCCTATTAAAGTATTCCTCCGTTTTCTCTCTACATATTTAGGAGAATCCAGATTTGCCTATTAGAAGTATTCCTTCCTTTTCCAACTACACATCTGTGTGAGTCCAGATTTTCTTCATATATTTCAACCAAAACAACAGATTGCAATAGATTGAAAGCAGAAGCAGTTACAATGATTCAGCTAGCTTCTTTTAATACAGACATTCAAGAGATTTGCAAAAATATATTTTAAAAAATGCCACTCTTCTCACTAAATTTTTTGCTTTGGAAAATGTACTTATTTTCATAATGATGTTATTTATGCTAATATGTAATATATTTATCATTATTTTTAATGAATAAATATTGTAAAATTGTATTAGCTTTAATTTTTAACATGGTAAACATCAATAATCAACATAAACGAAAGCTCTCTTGGAATCCTCAATAATTTTTAGGAGTATACTAGGGGATTCTGAGACCAAAAAGATTGAGAATTACAGTTATAGGCCTATATGTAAATGTGCTAATTATACAGATTTTGTATCATTGCGATGTAGTAGAAACAGTGCTTGACTTGACTATACAAGGGAGAAGAGACCTGGGATTGAATTTCACCTTTGATTTTTACTGATTGAGTGATCAACCAGTGGGCAAGTCATGATATTTCTGAGCCTGTTTTTTATTTGCAAAATGGGGAAAATAATACCTATAGACTCTACCCCACAGAGATTTTTTTAAAGTATCAAATAAGATAAGGTATCCAGAGCACATTTTACACTTTAAAGTATTATCAAATTCTAATTATCCTAATAAATAATAACTACTTTTTTTTGAGGCAATCTGGGTTAAGTAACTTGTTCAGGGTTATACAACTAATGAGTGTCTGAGGCCACATTTGAACTCTGGTCCTCCTAACTCCAGAACTGGTGCTCTATCCACTGTACCACCTAGCTGCCCCAAACAACTGTTTTTGATAAGCACCCATTAGCTTTCTATACACATCTTCCTCTTCTTAGGTAACATGGACAGTGGTGATCAGTGCCAGTTTCAAAATGCCAAGAGAAAGTAAGCCCTTTTACTAATAGGAATTATAGAAAAAAATTCTATACTCTGTACTGTAGGAACAAGTCTAATAACAAACAAGCTTTATTAATTTTTTATTATTCTAAATCTAAACATTTTTCTACCTATAGAAATGTCCAAAATGAACTTCCTAAAGCCCATCTCTCATCTAACATAACTCATTTTAAAGCCATACTATCCTATAAGAATCCTTGAACAAGGAACATTTCACAATATACCAAAACAGTCACAGAGCTTAGGATAAGGTAAAAGTTCAGCTAATGATCTGCTTCAACAAAACAATTGTCACTTAACTTTTGTCCCCTCTAGAGAATCATTTTCTTCAAACTTAGATTTTTCTTCAGTCACTTGCTGAATGTAAATGTAAGTGTGTACACTCTGGAGAGACCCTTCCAACCCCGATGTGCACTGGTAGTTCAGGTCCACAGAAGGTAGCTGCCATGTTTTTCTCAGGACTTTAGGCTAGTGATGACATATTGGGAGTGTTTTTCTAATGCTATAGCTCACAAGCCCCTACCAGTGTACTTCTTCCTGTTTATCAGTTCATATCAATTAGTTAGCTAGGTTGAATTAGCTTTTAGAAATGAGTATTTACTATGTGGCGCAGTAAGAACAGTTGCTATGAAACATTCCTCCCTTTTCCTTCTCTCCCCTCCCCCCACAGGCCTCTAGACACACTGTGACCAGTACTACTTTGTGTAGGGGCAAGTGGGTTCCAGCTTAGAGAGCACATGTGGTAAAGGGCTGCCTCAACAGCATCTAGCAACTGAAAGTTGTTTCTTTCCCCCTAGTTGGATACTCATGAAACTCCCTTTTGTCATAATATTGCTTTCTTCTGGGCTTCTTATAGTCTTGAAGCTACTTTTGCCTCAATGTGCCCCGTTTGCTCTTAACTCCTACATCACATAACTCCTGTCGGCCACTGCTGTTTGGTGGAAGCTGCTAGTATGCCACAAGAAGTCCAAATCCTCTGCCCCTCCAAAACTGACCAGGTCCTATTCTGTTCAAAAGGGAGAAGGGTAGATCAAGGATCATCTTCTCCCATCCCTCTCAGGAGTTTGCAAAGCATACAGACTAACAGCCAAGAATAACCTGCCCAGAAAAACTTAATATAATCCTAAATAGGAAAAATAAATCATTGATGAAATAGAAGGCTTCTAAACATTCCTGATGGAAGCACCAGAGCTATATAGAAATTTAAACACAGGAATCAAGAGAAACATAAAAAGGTAAACATGAACCACCAATGATAAAGGACTAGGCTAGGATAAACTGTTTATATTCTAAATGATATGTGTCCCCATTGAATCCTAGCAACCTCAGGGGTTACAGAGGGAGTCTAATAAGACAGAAGACCTGCAAGTATCTTGTTTTTCTTTAACGTCTTGATGATCTTAAGAGAAGAATGGAAAAGAGAGGAAGAGGAATATATCAGGGAAAGGGGTATGAAAAAGAAAGTTAAGGAAAATTATCCCATATAAGCAGAGTGTGTTAGTAGACATCTATAAAAACAAGGAGGAGGGGATGGGAAGGAGCAGTTGACACTTGAACCTCACTCATCTGAACTGGTCAAAGGAGAGAAGAATATACACATACACACACACACACACAATTGGGTATAAAAATACATCTCACTAAACAGGGAAATAGAAAAAAGAAAAAAGGTGAATAAATGGGAGGGGTCTTTAAAGGAGAGATTAGGTTTTTAAGTAAAACAAACTCTAGGGATGTACAAAAATATTTATAGCTCTTTCTGTGATGGAAAAGAATTGGAATTTAAGGGGATGTCCACCCCCGGGGAATGGCTGAACAAGTTGTGGTATATGATTATGATGGAATACCATTATGCTATAAGAATGATGAGCAGGATCCTTCTAGAAAAACCTGGAAAGACTTATATGAACTGATGTAAGATGAAGTGAGCAGGACCAAGAGAACACTAAACACAGTAACAGCAATATTGTACAACGATCAACTGTGAATGATTTAACCATTCTCAACAATACAAAGATCCAAGACAATTCCAAAGGACTTATCCGAAAAATGTTATCCAACTCCAGAGAAAGAATGGATGGAGTCTGAATGCAGATCGAAGCATACTATTTTTTACTTTTTTTGTGTGTTGGGGGGTTTTGGTCTGTGTTTTCTTTTATGATGTGACTAATATAGAAATATGTTTTGCATGATTGTACATGTATAACTTATAGTAACTTGCTTGCCTTCCCAAGAAGGGGGGATGGGAGAGAGGGAGGATGAGAATTTGGAATTCAAAATAAAAAAAAAGAAATGTTAAAAATTGTTTTTACATGTAATTGGAAAAAACAAAATATTGACTTTTTAAAAGGATATGAGTAAGACAAATATGAGAGATGTGAAAGTGACAGACTGAGTCAAGAAGAGGAGTAGGCATACTCCTTGCTCCTCTCTAATACTTCCAGACACTTCACCTCCATTGCTCAGCAACTTCTCCTCCCATGAGGTTTATATTTATATTAACCTATCCAGATCCTTGCTGTACTCATCTACCTGTTTCAGGTGAACCTCTCCTTCTGAAGGAGCTTAATACTTTAAACATACGTATTGATGTATATTTAAATGCTCTGATCCCCAGTTCATTAACCTCTTAATTGCCCATGATCTGTACTCCACATCATCAACACATAATTTCCAGACCAAAATATCCCTCCCTGGCTACCATTCCCCTATATATGTTATCTATTTCTATTAGATTGTAAATTTCTTGAAGGCAGACACTGGCTTTGATTTTATATTTGTATCCCTAGAACTTATTTAGCACAAGGTTTGACACAAAGTAAACATTACTTCTTGTTCATTAATTAATCAAGTTATTCAAGTGATTGATAAGCAAGTATACATCACTAGAGCAGTGGAGACCTCTTTCCAAATTGACTTTGAACCATTAGTAACCACTTATTAGGTGTGACCATTCAGCCGGTTTGGAATCCACCTAATTACCCTTTTGTCTTGCCCATAATTTTCCATCTTTTCTCTATGCCCTTTGTTTTCTAGTTCTTCGTGCAAGAGCCACAAATATAATAATATTTTTAATTATGCTACTTTTCTGATTTCCATGAAATATATCCAATAGAGGGATAACTGGAGCAAAGGGCATGGACATTTTAATCTTTTTTTTTTACATCATTCCCATTTTTCACAGAATGACTGGAACAACAGTACACGAATGTGCCTTGACTTCTTGCACCACCTCCAACACTATTTCCATCCTTTGTCATTCTCTCTATTTGCTGCATAAGGGGTGAAAGCTAAGAGTTGCTTTAATTTTCATTCTGTTATAATGAGTGATCTGGCATATGTCTTCATATATTGTTATGAACAGTTAACAGTTTGAAATTCTTTTGAGAACTGATTATATTTTTTGATCACTCATCAACTGGGGAAGGGCTCTTGGTCTTATGTATTTGTGTTAATTTCCTATATATCTTGGATATCAGACTCTTGTCAGAGATATTTGAAGCAAAGATTTTTTTCCTAATCAAGGTCTTCCCTTTTTATTTAAGTGCACCAAGCCAAACTCAAGGGTGTTGAACCGGATTCATTTATTCCTTATCACATATTTAGCAGCCAGTTCAACCTACACTTTGTGACAGCTCTCTCCCCAGTATAAGAAATATTTCCAGGAAGTGAGGTATATCCTAATATCTTTGCTTGCTAGTTAAAAGTTTAATAGATTTTT